TATGTTATAAATAAAAGCATTGTAACCTAGGTAAAGGTACCAGCCGAAAATTATAAAGGTGTAATCATTAAGGATGAGTTTGTACCACTCTCTAGGAGAGTTGGTTTGTGTGATTCACTGGACATGTGAGTTGAATTGTGTTCCTTAAGTTATAAGGTTCTGTTATCACTCTTAAGCTTTTAAGTATAGAGTTTATTATTGTTCTTCTCGAAGTTGTTAAGCAACAATGAGTATTTTTCTTGGAGGAAGCTTTTAAGCAACTCCAAGTGGTTGTTCTTAGTCAAGAGTCTTGGCTAGGTATTTTCATGGAAGTGTGTCTTCTGTTTTCGTCATAGAAGTGTGTCTTCCTTTTTTGTCCAATCGCTATCTGTGATTAATAAGGGATTGAGGAGGGACCCATATCTAGGTGATTCTTAGATAGAAGTATAGCACGGGTAGTGATTAAGTGAGAAGATGTAAATGGGAGAGTTTAGCTTCGAACTGATACTATTACAGAGGACTTTCCTGGCTTGGTATGCCCCTAGAGTAGGAGAGTTTCTATGAACTGGGTTAATAATTCTTGTGTTGTTGTTTATGCTTTTCAGTACTGTTTATATTGTTTATACCTTGCTTATGTTGTTTAAGTCAGATCAAATATCCCAACATGTCATAGGACATCTAAAGTCTGATATACGAGAATTTCACCTTAAAGAAGAAGTGTGTGAAATGTTTGATGATCAGTGGTTCAAATAAGCACTGATTATGTTATGTCTTTCTAATTTTCCTTATTTCTAATGTTGTCTTTTGATTAATATTGTTACATGTTGTTTTCTTCTTTGTTTTTAGAAGTTAATTGTTGTGTCTGTTGAGAGTCTCTCTGATGTTATATTTTATATCTTGTTCAATGTCTGTATTTTTTTTCGTAAATGAATGAAATTGGTTGATTAAGTGTTGCTAACCTTAATTTTTTTAACACTCTATTTCATGATTAGGTAATCCCAAGACTTAATTCAAATATCTCTTATATCTTTTTGATAATGACAAAAAGGGGGAGAAAGAATTATTTTGATTGATATAAATTCTCTAAACCCCACGACTTACATGACCTTCTAATAATTTATAAACTACATAATTACTTTGAATGTACATGATTGTTACAAGAACATTTCAAATGAAACACTGCATTCACTCTAATGAATCAAGTTCTGATATAGAATGACCATTTGTTCAAATGTTCTGAGAAAGCATGGATAATTTGATAAGCTTAAAGGTTAAATCAATGATGTTGATCAGATTCACAAAGGTTAACAATGCTCTTAAAGCTCTGAAAGATCATAAGTTTATGATTAAGGGGGAGAATGTTTATCCTAGAGGGAGTTTCCAACTCAGGGGGAGTTTTCTAAACTCTTATACTATTTCGTTTATGATTTAAACCTGTAAAATTATTCTATCAAAATACATGGTTTTGTCATCATCAAAAAGGGGGAGATTATTATAACAAGATTTGTGTATACAATATAATCTCGATGTTTCGATGATAACAACACATATATTTGATGAGAAACAATTTTAGTTCTAATAAGTTTATTGAGTGTGCAGATAAGAAATTTTAATTGATTCAAGATTGTTGTCTGAAAAATCAAAAATACACCAAGCACATCAGAAAGATTGTCCGCTTCTCAAGAAACATCAATAATTCAGAAGAATGTTGAATGTTCGCCAGAAATAATCAGAAATCAAGATTGTTCAAGAAAAAGCTTCCAACGCAAAGATCAGAAGTCATGATTTACTCATCAAAAAAGTTGTTGCTTATAATTCTGAAGACAAAGTCAAGACTCTGAACACATGAAGAGAAAGCTTCTACTTCTGAATCAGAAGATAAGACTTGTTCATCAGAAGAGTGGCTACTCCAATTTCTGAAGACAAAGTCAAGATTCTGAAGACTCGGGTAGTTCATGGAATACGTACTTCAATTCAACATCTGAAGTATTCCATCAAAAGAAAGGATGAAAGAAAGAAAGATCTTCTGGACTCACTTTTAATCAACATCACAAAGTCCATCAGAAGACAAGATCAAAGGATGATATCTTCTCAAGTCAATCTACTCAGAAGAAGTAATATTCATCAGAAGATAAATATCATCAGAAACACAAGTGCACTCACGAGTAGAACTATTATGACCATTTCTAAAGAAACAACAACAGTTCCAAGGAATGCAGAATGATCATCAGAAAGGGAATCAAGAATGTTATTAAGAAATCTTCAAACTTAATATATCAAAAACAAAGATCTCAGATATCCAGAGAAAGAATTCAAGATCAGAAGTCAAGATGTAGCTGGCATAAGTTGTTTCTTTCAGCTCAATACAAAGATCAGAATTCAAGAGATTAAAAAAGAAAGGAATTCAACGTCAAAATCAGATGTACTGACATAAGCTTATGCTTTAGAAATTAGACATCAGATATGCAGCTCAGAAAAGCTTATTATTAAAGATCAAGATGAAGTGGGTCAGAAAATCTTTAACTCAAAGAAGTTGTTCCTCAGATAAGTTGTTGCTTGTATATCTGAAGACAATCTTCAAATATCTAAAAGACTCTGACTCTACAACAAAGAAGAATCTTCTGGATCATTATCACTCCTCAATCAAAAATAATTCCTGCAAGAACAAAGAGTCAAAGCTCAAGAATACAAACTTGTTAATCAGAAAGGTTATTGTCTCAATATCTGATTACAAGATCCAACATCAGAAAAGCTTTTGATATCATCAGAAAAGCTTTCACGTACAACGAAAAGCTTGTTTCTCGAATAGGCTCTTGTCAATCATTTTGAAGACAATAATCCACTATTGAAAGATTCTGAAACGAAAGATTCTGAAATGAAACATCTTCTCAACTAAATCTTCATCTCTCGTATTAGATAAGAATTATGCCTTCAAGACTAGTTCTAAATTAGAAGAAAAGCTTTGTGCTTCAGATAGGTTGTTGCCCATAATTTTGAAGACAAGATTTGGTTCTGACCACTCTGATGTTCATGCCATATAACAACAAATTAGTTTACGAACTACTCATTAGTCATTCATCAGAAGAACGAAGACAAGTGATTGATCTCTTCCAAGATTAATACTTCAGAATCAGAAGTACATCATCAGAAGATAAAGATCACAAAACTTAGTCAAGAAGAATACAATATAAATAGTACACCACAAATTCCACTATCATGATATTGGTTGTACTATTCAAAGAAGTTGTCTCCCATGTTTCATGCTAACAACTGCAAGCAGCAGGCTAAGAAAAGTGACATTTTGTACTGTTCCAAACCTCTCTTGAATATATTCATTGGGAATTAACCGTTGGAAGTAGAAAGGACTTTTCTATCCTTACAACGACTATTTTTGAAGGCTATAAAAGGAGATAAATGAAATGAAGAAAAGTGCTAAAAATTCATGGAAGCAGATCTTGTTGGAGTTGTTCTGCTGAACATTCTGAAGCTAGTCAAAAAGAAAGAAAGAAGATGAAGAAGAAGAATTCTATAAGATGATACTCAAATTCTTATCAAATATATCTTGGTAGAAATATGAAAAATCAAGGAGTTGTTGATCATAGCTTGCTCAAAGAAGAAGATGAAGACAAGAAGACTACAAGATGTTGCACTCAAATTTAGATTATATTCATCTTTGCAGAATCATGTAAACACAAGAGTTATTGCTCATATTGTGTCATATCTTTAGTTCTTCATATAAATTATTTGTACATAAGAGTTGTTGCTCATAATTGTGTCGAAAATCTGGACTTAATCATTTGTGTAATATGCTTAGAAAGAAGTAATAATGTAAACACAAGCTTTATCAATTGAATGTTGATGGTTCCTTGAGAGATTCAGTTGAGTCAGGATTCTCAAGAAGACTTTGGCTGCTCATCATGGATGAAATCCTGTTAAGAGGCCATGATTGGTTCATTCTTGTAGGGTCAATGATCGTTATATCTCTTCAGGGACCAGGAAGGTTAAAATTCTTAAGAGACCAATAGTTAAGGATCATTGTGAGAAATCTCCTCTAGAAAGACTAAGTTGGTCAGATTTCTTATAGGGTCAATGATCGTTATATCTCGTGGAGATCACTAAACGTATCATTGTATTGTTCCTTGAGAGACTCGATTGAGTCAGGATTCTCAAGAAGGCATAGGGTGCGGATTTTGCAGAAATGACAATAAGGATCAATTTAACTGAATGTGTCTCTTTATAAGTAATATTTGTAATTGATGGAGAACTATCATTATTTTAAATATGGAGTATAAATTCTTTTGTATTTTATGATAAACTATCAATATATTGAATATGTTGTATGAATTTATTTAATTTCAGGATGAATGTATTTGTAATTAATTGTGAACTATCATCATTTTGAGTATAATATATGAACTTATATAATTTATGTTGATCTTTTAAAAAATACAATAACATGAAATAGAATTGTTACAAGATGAATGTATTGCATGAAAAAAAAATATTTCAAACCGAACAATCTAGCTGAATAAAACTGAATTAACTCGATAAATTGAATCAGTTTTATATATTTTTTAAAATAATAAAATTAAACTGAATCAAACCAATATAAATTTCACTAATTTAGATATGTTTTTGAATAAAAATCGATCCAAATCGAATCATAACACCTCTAAATTTAATATATATTTACAAGATTAATTTAATTAAGAATAACTCAAAGTGTTATGTTCTCAAGATGTCGTCTAATTTCCAAACTAATTTTCAATACTAATTTATTTATACTTATTAAATGTCTCTAAATGAAGAATGAACAACCATGAAAATTACATTAAGAAAATATTGTAACTCTTAAAATGTAGGAGACAAAATGTTGAACAAGAAAAAAAAATAGTATCAGACTTTTCACCAATAGCCACACTCTACCCTACTAGACTCCATCATTTTTGTGTGTGTGTTTTTTTTTTGTTGCATCACACAAAAGTTGAAGAGTTTATTTATTAGGTTGGCAAAAAATCAAATCACATAACATAAGCAATGGGTTGAAGCGGAGCAGAACTTGGATGATCCATACAGAAGGATCCTGAATCCCTAGCAAACCCTCTGCCATTATAAGAAACACATGGGCGAAAATCGGCCCAACATCGCCCAATCTCATTCTTCCGTATTTCATTACTATCAAACTCCTTCGTCAATTCCTTTTCAAATTCATAATTATTATTTTCTTCATCTTCATCAAAATTGCCAACAGGCCATCCATCATCATCTTCATTATGATGATGGATGAACCTCATAGTAAGTCTACCATTTTCTCTTTGAGCCTCCATATTTTCATAATAGCATTTCACTCGCTCCGTCCTAAAAACCAACCTTCCATCCTCACTACATTCCTTTTTAATACACCATGGCATTCCCCCTCCAGATTCTCTCAACAAGGTTATTGCGGGAGGAAACTCCTTCTCCACTTTCTTCTTTTCTTTGAATATGAATCCCTTTTTTTGACTTTGATCTTGACTTAAAAGCTCAAGTAAATCATAACTCATACAATCTCCACTCTCAGTCCCAATCAAATCGCCCATTACACTCGAACGTCCGGGTGATGATGACCATAGTGATTTCGACAATCTCTCCCATAACAAAGATGTTTTATCACCTTGTGATAATGCAATTCTTGTTTTATCCATGTTGTAGCAATGTAGAATTCTCCCGGGTAGTTTCGTTGCTTCAGAATGAACTAGGGTTTGAAGACCATGATAACGATATGAACAACAATGATACCCATTACTATTACGACGCCGTTTTGCCCTTAATGCATAGCTATATAGAGACGAAGCTATGTATTCCGCTTGGCTTGATAAATACTCGTTCAATATATCCATAATTGTTCACATCAAAAAAAATTAAACAAAAATATACTACTATTTTAATTCTCTATTACACCCTTGCAATTGGTTTCAACAAAATATCCTGAAACAAATAAAAAGAGAAAATTAGATTTTATTGGTAAAATATAGCTGGCAAGGAATTAAATTATATTTGTATTTACTTGCCAATTTAATAAATGTATTAAATATAGAAAAATGCATTTTTTTTTTTAAATTCAACTAAATTAAAACCTGTGGGTTTTATCAATCGAAAATGGAAAATGACAACGTGTTTATATCTATCAAAAAACTGTAAGCTGGAAAAAAAAAGTAAAATTAAAAATAAAACCAAAACAAACATAAAAACAATGAAAAACACTTATACATAAATATTTCACTTCGTTCAACATCAAAAACACATTTTGAATCTGAATTGTCAATCCTACATTATAATGTTCATTATAACTCTATAAAACACAGACATTCTGACGTTAATACGACGATATCGATAATCTGACGTTATACCGCGACATCAATAATGATATAATACAAGTAATAATTTTAAAAAAATAAAATTAAATATAATTTGCACCGACAGAGACACAGCTTTTTTTTACGGTGCTACTTAACTATAAACATGTTAATGATTAAGATATATCTGATCTGAGAAAACATATGATTGATCAACAATTCAACATTCAAATGAAAAATAAACGAAAAATGAAATAAGATCTTACATTGCTACTGAATAAAGAGGATAAATCAGGTTGCATTTGCATCTCTACGTTCTCTCTATCACCCAGAATGATTGGAAAAGAGACAGAAAACGAAAGAAAAAACACGACACAATCTTAAAATTATAGTGAGATCCGTATTTATATACATAGTACAAATGTTTACCTCAAATACCCCTATGTGGGTCCACTTAAGAAACACGCTAACAAGGCCCTACACCGTACGAGGTTTCAAGGACAAAAATATCTTTTCCAATAGTTTGAAATGCAACTTCTGTTTTCTTTTTTTCTTTCAACTGATTTTGTTGTGTTATGTATAGCTCTGCTGGCTCCCATTTCATCTTTTAATTTAATAACCTTTATTCAAAGCTTATCCTTTTCTTTTTTGACAAAGCTTATCCTTATTTTAATTGATATAAAAACGAAATTCAAGGTGAGTTTGTTCAAAACTTTTTTAAGAAAAATTTATATTTTAAAACAAATATTACTTTAATAATTTTAATAGTGCTTTTTATTTATTTAAAAATTAATTTTAAGATTAAAATAGGTAATCATATGACCTTTTTATAAATCTTTTTTTTTCCTTTTAAAAATATAGAATTTCGGTTTAGGAGCTTCAAATTTAAAAATTATTATTATTATGATATCAAATAAACGTTTGAGATTTTAAAAATCTCTATTTTAACCAAGTTTTATTACTCACTTTAATTATTAATCAATTAATGTTTTAACTAATAAATAACTAAAATAATTAAATAAAGATGTATATTTAAATAATATTGGAACATATAATTAAATTAAATATTAAATAAAATGTTTCAAAATGTTATTATACTCCAAGCACATACTTCTGTCTAGTATTTGTTTTTTTTCTTATTTATCTAAATTTATTTTGAATATCATATAGCTAAGTTTTAAATTTATTTTCATTTTTTAACTTATTAATTTATAAATATTAATAAATTATTTAATATATAAACATAAATAAAAGTTTTTTTTATAAGAAACTAAAAAGATATATTACGATAAAAAAAATCTTTGAAGTACAAGGCGTACTTGAAAGCTCGAATTATAAAATATAAAATCCTTGAACTAAAAAGATATATTACGATCAAAAGTCTTTTTAACAATTGTCATCGCTGACAAGCTCGAATTATGAAAAATACATTGATTTTGCGCTTTCAAAATAACCCACACAACTGCTATCTAAAAAGAACATGTATGATTTTTAACTGATAAAATATTACGTCTTACCAAATTATCCTTAGTCAGTAATCTATTATAAAATAGACGCCAAATAAAAAGATTTATCTTGAGAGTTACCGCTTTAGACCACCAAACCGGAGAACCACCAAACATCTGAACATCCTCCGTCTTCGTCAACAAATGATAAACACTATTAACATTATAACAATTTGAAGAGTGAAGACGCCAAATCCACGAATCTTCCACCACCTCCTGCAACTCCACCGACTCCAACACTCGAATACAATTCCCACCAACTCTTCCTCCCATACAAACAACCTCTTTTGCCAACACCAAGTCTCTCCTCCCACTTTCCACCCTAAATTAAACATATGTGCTACTGATGCTTCCTTATACTCCGTCAAGTCAAAAAGCCTCCAAAATTTATCCATCAACACCCTTCATCCAATCAATGATCCCTCTAGAATAGAGAGTTCTCATCGTTACCAATTACTCGCTGAATATTATCACGCATCCACCCACTAACATTCGATCTCACCTCTTGACGAATTCTATTCACACTCTGCCACCACACAGACCCCCTTGTTGTCCCTATATTCAACCGTCCCACATTCTCACCATACTGAGAGGCTAACACCCTATACCACAAACTACCCATCTTCTCCAACATCATTTCCCCAAAAGAGCCTCATTAAACTCCCTTAACTTTCTCACTCCCAACCCATCATTCTCCTTACTCAAACAAATAGTATCCCAATCAAACCACACTATCTCCATCTTCTCCTCCGATCCTCCCCAAAAGAATGCATTAAATAAATATTCAAGAGAAAATATAATACCCGCGGGAGCTTTGAATAAGGATAGAAAGTAAACAAGGATAGAGAACATGACACATTTCAACAAAATCAAATGACCTCCCAAAGAAAGATTACGGAAATTCCAATTCGATAATATTTTTCTAATGATATCCAACACCGGTTACCAAACGTTTAACTTTTGAGGATTACCACCCATAGGTAACCCCAAAGACACAAACAGAATAACCTCAAGCTTACAATTTAACACCATTGAAATCTCTTGTAACCAAGAATTATGAATATTAACACTCACCAACATACTCTTATTAAAATTCACCTTTAAACCCAATATGGATTGAAACAATAATAAAACTACTTTAGAGCCCTCACATTAGCCCAAATTTTCACCCCCGTCAACAAAGTATCATCTACAAACTGAAGGTGAGAAATTGAACCCCCCCTCCCCCCCACCCCCACCCCCCATCTTCATTTCCCACTTTATACCCTATAAACATACCCTCCCGAACAATAGTATTCACCAAAACACTAAAACCTTCTGCCGCAATTAAAAAAAGAAAAGGTGATAATGGATCACCCTGCCGCAACCCTCTTTCCAACTTAAATTCATCTGTTGGACTACCATTAACTAGCACCAGCGCTGAAGCTGTAGTAGCACATTTATTTATCCACTTCACCCATAACATAGGAAATTACACTCTAACCATTACTCTCTTCAAGTAACCCCAATCCATTTAATCATAAGTCTTTTTAAAATCCATTTTAAATAAGAGTAACTCTTTCTTCTTCTCCCGAGCTTCGTCTGCCATTTCATTTGCTATAAGAATGCCATCAAGAATCTGCCTACCGCAATAAAAGTTGATTGAGACTCTGAGATCAGCCCCCCAATCACATTTTTCAATCTGTTTACCAATATCTTTGCCAACACTTTATACAAGCACCCAACTAGCGAGATAGGCCGACAATCTGCTAATCGCTACGAGCTAGCAACTTTAGAAATTAAAGTAATGAATGTCATTTAAACCTTTAGTTAACTTCCCGTTACTATGAAACTCCTCCATGAATCTCAACAAATCACCTTTTAGAAGATCCCCAAAGTCTTTAAGAAAACCAAAGCTCACGCCATGAGGCCTAGGACTCTTATAGCTATCACAATCCCACACCGCCTTTTTAACTTCCTTCATTAAAAAAGGCTTAACCAAATCAACCCCATTCTCTCCACTAATAGTTTTAAATGCCAGATTATCTATTTCATGCTGATCTCCAAATATCACCTTAAAATAATTCTGAAAATGATTAAAAAAACTGCATTTCTAATCGATTCAACACCTTCTATCAAACCACCATTCAAAGATAGAGTTACAATCGCATTCACCCTTTTTATAATTTAACCATCAGTATTAATTTAACTCAGGTAGCACAATTAAGTTGATTAAGTTCCCACTCAATTTTTTTATACTCAGGTAGCACAATCGCATTCACCTTAAAATAATAATAATAATAATAATAATAATAATAATAATAATAATAATAATAATAATAATAATAATAATTTAACATCTTTATAATTTTTAGTTAAAGAATATTTTTTAAAATACATTTTGTAAATAAAATTGATTTTTTTTAAGTAGTTGTCATAAATATTAATAATTTGTTTATGATTATAAATAAATATTGTTGATATAGATTGAACTTTCGCTATTAAAAAAAGTCAAAGTCGATTATTATAAATAACTTTTTAAATTCTTTGAATAATAAATATATTTGATCTATATAAAAAATCAAATATATTTATTATTTAATAAACGTAATTTTTTTTTTTTAATTTTAGTAATAGTCAGAGAGAATAGCTTTGTGACTTTAACACTATAATTTGATTTATTATTTATTATCTCTTATTTAATTATTTTTTAATTATATATTTATCTCCACATTTATACTAAAGGTACCAAAACTATCAAATTTGAAAGGTAAAAGGTCATTTCCTATAAAAATTAAGGGTGGTAAAACGGGTTGGGTCTGTCGGGTTGGCTCGTTTGACTCTTCATTTTTTGACAGATTAGAGTGAGGTTTTCGGCTCGGTACCTTAAGTTGGTCTGTCCCGTCTAACTCGCTTAAAAAAGCGGGCCAAGACAGAACGGGGCAAATTTCCCCCAGATTTTTTGTTAAATTTTTTACTCTTTTTATTAAGAATTAAAACAACTATAATTATAAAAACAACAGTTATCTCTTTTTATTAAGAATTAAAACAACTTTAATT